TGGGTGTGGAATGACGGGTGCACGATGAAAGAAATCTGATGTACAGCATTTTGCCGATTGCCTCTCCCGTTGTGCATATACTTTGTCTCCCGTTGTGCATATACTTTGGTGCGATGAGGGGGTTATGAGGGGGTGAGGAATGGGGGGTCCACCCCGATTGGCACCCTGCGGGCTTTCGCACCCTGCGGGCTTTCGCATCCTTGGGGCTTATTACACACCCCTCTCGTGGCCGGCGTCGGAGGGGTCAGAGAGGGCGTGCGGGGGGTGTGCCGAAGGGGGTATTCCTAGCTCGCCATCCGAATCACCCAGGCGGCGCCAACGATGGGGTTTTCTAGTCAGGTTCCGGCAGACCTACTTGAGCTGAGCGCCGGTCGTGTTCATCTCTTTATTCTGCTTGCTGTGCTGGGGCGCGCGCTGCTTTGTTTGCTCGTTGTCTGAGTCGTTTTTGCCAGAAGCGGACTTGGACCCCCCCGATGCCACCAATCACCGCCCCCACCTGACGCCCCAACTGGAGCAGACCTTGATCCGCCGGTCGGACCACAGGCGCCGGTTGAGCCGGTGCGCTGCTTCGACCGCCTCCAGACGTCCGATCCTCTTGGCGCCCTCTGCCTGCCCCCCATCGTCTTGCTTCTTACAGTTGGACCTTGATGCTTTGGGCAGGCCTCTGTGGAGGCTCTGCTTTGGGCAGCTTCTGCTTTGGGCATGAGGCTCTCTGCCTGGACTGGTGATGCCGTGTGCGGGGCGCCTATGAGCCGGGGGGTCAAACACCCGGATCGATCATCGTATTCAGTGCCCATTGCAGCTTCTGCCATGCTCACCATGCTCCTCGAAATCCCATCATCGATGCGTTGGTCTCTTCTTGGCACTGCACAATACCATGTACACAGCGCCAATAGACAATGGACAATGGACAATAGCCACCAGCCTCAGCCATGCCCATGTCCACGGCCACGCCCATGGCGACAGAGACGAAGGGGGCGACGTACTTTAGCGAGAAACTATCCTCCCCGATGCATCCAGATGAAGTCCCACATGGGAAGATACTTTACACTTCCACGACCCTAGTCATGGTCATGGTAGCATCCTCACCCTCTCTCTCACTCTCGCTTTCGCTTCTATCCACCCCTGACAACCCAGACCCTTTGCCCTTCCCACATTCCAGACCCCAGCCCAACCATCTCACCGGCTTTGCTGGCCTTGCATCTTGCCTCGCCACGCCTCACCTCACCGAGCCCATCTGTCGTGCCTCCCCCTTCCGTGCATGCCGTTCGTGCAGCTGTCTGCAGTCTTGTCGTTGCCGAAAGAAAAGGCAGATTTAGAAAGGAGTTGCAGAAGCTGAGCCCCCGACGCCGAAAGCACACCACATCACCTCATCATCTCCTCAGGGTCTCGACCGCACGGGACGGCTGTCTATCGACGACGACATCAGAACTATTCACCATCAGCTTGCCACGAGCTTTCCTCATTCACTCTGCCAAGACAGCCGCTGCCAGAAAGCAGCCACTGTTGCAGGACCACGCAGCGGTACTTCCGTCGGCGGCCCGGTCGAGAGAAGTGAGCTCGCCTCCCCAGTTGTATCAGGCCGAGGTGCGTTTTTCTGTCTAAGACGAGCGAGGAAAGCAACGAGGAAAAAGCGAGGCTCCGCGCTTTTCTTCGAAACCCCACGCACCGACTGACCCGACGGCCTGACTAGACACTGGACGAGACCGTTCGCTGCACAGCGATTTCCCTCAGCGTGTCTTGCCCGTGCAGCCCAGCTCCAGGCCCCGGCGCCCACGAGGAGGCTTGAGGCGAAGCGAGAAATCCGTGGACCCGACTTGTCGATAGTCTCGCTTTGCCTCTTTGACGCTCGGTTGCTGAGGTTGCTCGAACACACACACACCCCTGCTCGCTCTCTGCCACGTCCCCCTCCTCATCCTACCTGCTGGTGTCACTCACCAGACCCTCCTCATCCCACCTCTCGTGTCACTCATAGGGGGGTCGGCCTTCTTCCTACATCACCTCAAACCCCCTTTCACGATCCGCCTCCCCATCTTTTTTTTCCTCTTACCTTTGCTATTATTGTTCTTTGTTTCTGGGAGGGCAGACCTGACACGTTTTTGTTTTGGATAGTCTGGATTTTCTTCCATCTCATCATCCTTACGCCCCCCCCTCCTTCTCCCCGACCTCCCCGACACCATCACCAGTTCTACCGACGCTCGTTTCGGTTTGATACCCTCTCTCGCCTCGTCGGCGATTTTGCCAGGTCACGTCATCGCCGCATCGGTGTGTTGTCTGGTTCTCGCCCCATTCACAAGCCCTTCACAAGCCCTTCACAAGAGGGCCCTCTCGAGAGGTAGCCCCCTCCTTCACAAAGAGTCGTCATGGCGTCATTTTTCCAGCCCGGGTTCAACGACCCTGCCATTGAAGGCTGCGAGCGCAGCTCGCGCTTCGAGGTGCTCTGCAACAGCATCTTGCCGGCAGACAGGCGGTTCGCGCAGTGGCATCAGGTCCTCGACGTGACGGTCGGTGTGACGGCCATTGTCATCCCCATCCTCCTCTTCCTCCTCTACCGAGTAGCGCGGCCCAAGCACGATGCCGCTGCTCGATCCAAGTAGGTCCTCTCCCATGGGCCAGAGATGGGTCCTCTCCCATGGGCCATCTTGTGATGCACATCTTGTGATGCACATCTTCTAGGTTCTGGTTACTGACTGACACGACCAGACACGCAAGATACTCCCGCGATGTCAGCAGGCCAGTATCCGAACACCAAGGCCCGGCGCCGTCGTTCCGGGCCACCAAGACGTTCCGTGTCTTGGATGACTTTACTGACCTCCCCATCTCCGGGGACACGCAGCCGTACGACCTCGTCGTCGTGCCGCTGCGCAGCCAAGCCGCGCCGCCGCCCTCCCACGCCCACGGCGGCGGCCTCGCGAGCTCGGCGTCGTCGCTGCGCTCGAGCCGCAGCGTGCCGGCCAAGATGAGCCTCGCGCGCGTCGACGTCGACAGCTTCAGCGACGAGGACCTCACGTCGCCGCAGCTCGAAGCGACGGCGGCGCGGCTGCACGAGGCCTACATGGAGCAGACGCTCGCGGGCTTCGCCGTCCGCTGCTCGTCCCACACCGAGGCGGCCAAGGTCGAGCGGCTGCTCGAGGCCCTGCACGCGCGCAAGCTGCCGGCGCTGCTGCTCTGCCACCACGACTTTGCCGGCCTCGACGCGCTGAGCTTCTTCCACGCCTCGGGCCTCATCATGGAGAACGCCTGCATCCTGCGCGACGGCACGCGCCGCGACTACTTCATCGCCCGCCGCCTGCGCGACACCATGACCCGCTGCACCGCCGAGCGCGAGGACCGCCCCGAGTTCTTCGTCGCCTTTCTCGACCAGTGGGACGTGCGGCCGCATCCCTCGGTCGTCAAGCGCGCCGTCAAGATTGCCGAGCACTTTGGCGCCGTCATTGAGCATGGCCCCTCGGATGTGGCCATGGGCGCCAGCCCCGTCGTCGCCAGCGCGTCTCGCACCATTGGGGGGTTCGAGTATCTTCGCCGCGCCGAGATCATCCAGGTACGTTCTGTGCTTCACCCTGTTTCTCCTGTGGCTCCTGTTGCTCCTGTTGCTTTGGCCCGTTGCTTGGCCTGTTGTGAGGGTTCGATTTTGGCTCTGCCCACCGTTCCCTGAATCCCGAGTTCCATGTTCCCCTGCTGCATATGCATATGCACCCGACGTTGCATTCTTTCGTCCCCTCCCCGCACTCCTCTATTTCTGTCTCTAGCCCGGGGGCTTTCTGGCTTTCTGGCTTTCTGGCTTTCTGGCTTTCTGGCTTTCTGGCTTTCTGGCTTTCTGGCTTTCTGGCTTTCTGGCTTTCTGGCTTTCTGGCTTTCTGGCTTTCTGGCTTTCTGGCTTTCTGGCTTTCTGGCTTTCTGGCTTTCTGGCTTTCTGGCTTTCTGGCTTTCTGGCTTTCTGGCTTTCTGGCTTTCTGGCTTTCTGGCTTTCTGGCTTTCTGGCTTTCTGGCTTTCTGGCTTTCTGGCTTTCTGGCTTTCTGGCTTTCTGGCTTTCTGGCTTTCTGGCTTTCTGGCTTTCTGGCTTTCTGGCCTCTGGCCTCTGGCCTCTGGCCTCTGGCCTTTCGGGGCCTTCCTACGTGGCCATCTGCCACTGTTACCGTCACCACGTGCCGTCACCCCTGTCGTGCTTCTCATGCTTTCTCGTCGCATCAGCCTATACCCACTATCACGAAAGCCTGAGCACCGACTGACTTCTCCCTGCAGCTCCAATCTGTCTGGACCGCCGAGGCCCGCAGGGTTTCGGTGCCCAGGGGTCACGGAAAGGAGGCAGAAGCTTCCGACGTGGCCACCCTCCCCCTGGACGACCTGAGCACCGTCATGCCCGGCACGGCGGAGCTGCTGCAGGCCAAGGCGCTGCCGCAGGAGCTGAGCCGGATCCAGGACGAGGTGGCCGCCCTCCGCGCGCCGCCGCGCTACCTCGACGCCCTCGTCGACGGCGACGAGGCCATGGCCGCCGCCGCCGCCCTGTTCTGGGACACGGACCGCGACGGCACCGTGCTGTCGAGCCGCGGCGCCTTCCCCCCTCGGGTCCCGAGCCGCGCATCGAGCACCACGATGCCGTCGTCGAGACCCAGGTGCACCTCGCCAAGCTGCGCATGCTGCACACGATTGAGGGCGTCGAGGAGCAGGCGCTGCTGGCCTCGCTCAAGGCCCTCGCCGCGCACCCGTCGTGCGACCTGCGCGTGCACGACCTCGTCAAGGGCCTCGTGTCGCGCGACATTCGCGTCTTCAAGGGCCTCGCCACGGGGTTCCGCTGCGCCGAGGGCGAGGCCCTCTTCTGGGGCGTCGCCAAGCGTCGCGGCGCCGGCGACGCCGAGGACTCGGTCGACATTTTCCTCTCGCAAAAGGCGCCCCAGGACGCCTCGGTCGTGCTGCACACCTGGCTCGCCCACTGCGGACGCCCGCGCGTCGAGCGCTTCGAGCAGGAGCTTCTGCTCGAGCAGGTCGTCGGCCTCGAGGACGCGAGCGGCTGCGGTCTGCCGACGAGTCTGCGCACCGCCGTCGACCGGGCCACGGTCGCCGAGCTCCTCGTGCTGCGCCAGCGGCTGCGGGCGTCGCGCTCTGCTGCGACGAGGGATGAGGAGCCTCATGCCCTGGAAGAGGGCATCCAGCGGTACTGCCGGTCGAGTCTCATCGCCGACACAACCAAGACGTTCTGGACCAGCACGTGCGCGCGCAAGGTCCTCGACCGCACCATGTCCATGCGCGACCTCCTCCGGCTGCGTCTCGAGCACCACACTCGCCAGGGTGCCACCGAGCTGCCTGCCCTTGACGACCTCGAGCGCCTGTATGACATGGTCGATGAGGCTGTCGAAAAGTCGCTCTTCTATGGCCGTCGCGAGCTCATGAACGTCGTCATCAAGGCTCTCCTCGACTGCTATGAGCCCACGGCCGAGCAGGGCAAGGCGGTCGACGTCAATGCTGACCTGTTCGCCCTCATCTTCTTCAGCGTTCTCCGCCGCTCTGCTTTCGAGGATGTGTACCTCGAGGCCACCGATCGCTGCCCTCTCTTCCTGTCGCAGCCTGACCAGGCGGCCGTCTTCTCGGAGCTCTGGATCCTCGGCTCCCAGTGCGAGAACTACTTTGGCCTGCCTCCGCGGGACATCGGCGTCGTCATTTACGACCGCTACAACCGGTTCCTCGCCGGGCGGCCGCCCACGGCTGCGGATCGCAAGAACAACGAGATCATGACCATGTACTCGAGCACCGACGCCGTGCCGCTGCCCGAGGCCGAGGCGACGGCCGCCACCATCGAGGCCGCCGAGGAGGCGCAGGCTCGCCTGACCCCCCACGAGTGGGTGCAGGTGTGGAAGAAGCGCATCGCGGCCGCCAGCGCCATGTCCATCTTCTGTCTGCCGGCCATCATCGACGTGCTGCTGCTGACGCTCGTGGGCCGCGGTCTCTTCATGACGGCCTTTATGCGGCCCGACCACGTCGAGGCCGCCGGCTACGCGCTGCTCACGTCGCTTCTGCTGACGGCCGGCGTCACGGGCTGGGTCGGCAGCACGGGCAACTATTACCTGCCGCACTACGCCTACGACAACATGATCTACTTCCACGTGCAGCGGCTGTCGGGCGGCTTCGTGCTGGCGCTGCTCGTCTCCCTCTGCGGCATCGTCGGCTTTGGCCTGCGCCAGTCGGTGGGCGCCGGCTTCGTCTTCGCCGCCTACCTCCTCAGCGTGTCGACCTACCTCAACCTGCTCGGCGTCATGAGCACCATGCACCAGAACGGCAGCCCGCTGTCGTCGGGCCGCAACACGTTCCTGCAGACGCTGCCCGTCCTCTTCATCTCGCCCATCCTGTCGACCTTTGTCAACGGCCACGACCTCGAGATCTACCTGCCCGTCATGTACGGCTTCCTCCTCGTGTCGCTGTACCGCTACCGGCGCATCTGCTACGAGTGGTCGACCTGGATGCAGCACGTGCCCGTCCTGTCGGCGCCCGAGATTGAAAAGTGGTACACCGCCAAGATGGACCCCGACGACGACTCGGACGACGAGAAGGGCGCGCCCAAAAAGTCAAAGGCCGCCGAGGATGCCCAGGCGGCCTTCACGGCCGCCGTCCTCGCCTTCACGCGCCACGGCAAGGCGGCCAAGACGGGCGACGACGCGAGCGACCCCCTCGTCGTCCAGGTCGCCAAGGGCCTGCCCTACGTCGACTGGCTCTTCAAAAAGGCCGGCCAGGGCGGCGACATCCCCCCTCTCTTCACGACGGCCTGGTTCACCAAGCTCGGCGACGCCATCCACCAGCAGCGCCAGCTGTCGCGCGGCCTCAAGGACCACAACGTCATGATCCTCTTCCGCATGGCGCGCTACGACCTCGGCCAGAACCTCGGCCTCTTCCTCGTCGCGCTGCTCGACCGCTGGATCATGATGGTCATGAGCGCCCGGCGTCCCTACCCGAGCATCTACACCGACGACCGCGCCCGCTACGGCTTCTGCTTCACCATCATCTACTTCTGCCTCGGCGCCATGACCCTCGACACGGCCCTCTACAAGTACTGGGGCGTCCGCGACAAGCTGTCCGAGGAGAAGCTGCGCGACCTCGAGCACGCCAAGCGCGTCGCCGACGAGGCCGAGACGCAGCGCAAGGCCGCCCTCGGCAGGGCCTGGGTCGACATTATGGGCAAGCTGCTCGTCGTCTTTGGCCTCGCCACCCTGTGCCTGTGGCTGCTCGTCGACAGCAAGGAGACGACCATCCTCTACTACTGCTACATCTTTGGCTACACCTGCGCCCTCATCTTCCAGTTCAACCGGTGCTTCACCACCAATGTCCGCGTCCACGTCACCATCATCATCTGCTCGGCCCTCGTCGGCTTCGTCCTCGGCTGCCTGCTCCACGCCCTGCCCCAGACGGCCGGCTTCCTCTACACCGACGTCATCTGCCAGAACCTGGCCGGCGCCCTCGCCGCCGCCGGCACGTCGCTCTTCACCTGGAAGGACTGGACGGCGGCGCCCGTGCTGGCGGCGTCGCGCGGCGCCGACGCCTACGACGAGCCGTCCGTGACCCTGCAGCGCACCATGATGGCGAGCCTCGACGACCAGGCCACGCCGACGCTGTTCGTGGGCGACCTCCCGGCGAGCTTCACCGAGGCGACCGTCAACTTTGAGGACGGCACCGGCCTCGCCAACAAGATGCACGAGGTGCTGCAGCGGACGGTCGCCGAGCCCAACGAGACGGCGCGCGAGGCGGCGCCGTGGTCGGCCAACCTGCTCGAGACGGCCCTCGACATGTGGACGTCCGGCCGCCTGACGGCCGCCGTCCTCAGCCGACAGCACTTTAGCGATGCCGGCCTCGACGACTGCCACTCGCTGAGCTACACCGACCGCGGCGTCCTCCACGTCGCCGTCTGCTTCACCGGCGAGACGGAGCGCCGCCTGCCCGCGTGGCAGCCCCTGCTGGCCAACGTCGTCTGCGAGGCCCTCCTCTACCACGTCGCCGCCACGGAGCTCCGTCTGCCCGCGGCCCAGGCCGTCCAGGCCGAGCACATGCTCCACGGCACCACGGCGCTGTCCAAGAGGCTCGAGTCGGAGCTGTGGCCCGAGCACGCGTCGAGCCTCCTGCTGCTCGCGCGCAAGACCAAGATGAACCTCATGGAGCACCTCTGCCTCGACGTCGACGTCGACGCGCAGTGGGAGACGATGCCGCCCTCTGTGCGCGAGGCCATCCTCGACCGCATCGACGGCGAGCCGACCGTCATGTCCTCCGAGCTCGTCGACTGGGCGGCGGCCCACAACGTCCATCTCCAGACGGCCGACTTCCACGTCGCGCTGACGCTCCAGGTCCAGGCCGCGTGCCGCGACCGTCTGCAGCAGATGATGCTGCTGCCGTCGCAGGATCTCGTCCTCGCGGCCCAGGACTCGCCGGCCGAGCTGTACCCCGTCGTCATCCGCCGTGGCAAGAACCATCGCGGCCTGTTCCAGGCCATCTGGCGCGGCTTCGTGCGCGTGCCGGCGCTCGTCGTCAAGTGGATCGCCATCATCTCGGGCGCCGGCTCCAACATGGAGCGCGAGCTCTTCTACTGCCTGCAGAACGTGCGCTTCCGCGGCCCCCTGCTGCGCGTCATCCTGCTCGTCCTCAAGGCCTGCTGGCTGCTCAAGAACCTCTGGGTCTACTGGCTCATCGTCTACCACCGCCCCACGCTCGTCAAGCTGACGAGGCTCGCCAAGAAGGGCGCCCGCCGCAAGATTGTCAACAACACCGTCGTCGTCGAGCTCACGCGCGCCTTCCAGACGGGCTTCGCCTCGGCCGGCGACGAGCATGACGACGACGACGGCATGTCGCTCGCCGTCTACAACGGCCAGCTCACCGAGGTGCCCGACAAGGGCGCGCCGCTGTTCACGACCAAGTACGACGCCAAGTTCCGCCTCGTCAGCCGCCACGACACGGGCGCCGGCACGGCGACGTACCACTACGACCCGGCGAGCAGCTCGCGCCGGCCCGAGACCAAGGAGCACGTCCACAAGGACTACCGCAGCGTCGGCTACTACGACAAGTACGGCCGCATCGTGCGCGGCACCGTCACCGTCGACGGCGTCGACTTTGCCTTTCAGTACTTTTACAAGTCGAGCCCCAAGGGCAGCGCCGCCATGCTCCACGCGCGCTTCCGCCTCGCCGGCACCGGCGACTCGCTGTCCATCTACTGGGGCACGCCCGTCGACCGCAACGACATGACCTGGGTGCCGTCCAAGTTCATCGGCCTCATCGTCAAGAAGATTGCCGGCCGCACCTACACGACCGAGTACGACTACTCGCACCGCCGCGACCCCGTCATCACCACCTTTCTCGAGGAGGACGACGGCCGCCGCACCGCCCTGACGCACACGCCGGCCCTCTTCGCCAGCGAGGCCGTGCTGCTGGCGCTGCCCCGGGACCACGCCTTTGACGCCGACGACCTGCTCGTCTACCACAGCCCGCTGCAGATCCGCCAGATGCTCCGCTGCGCCCGGAACAAGATGCCCAGCCTGCTGTCGCGTCTCAACCCCCGCAGCTGGCTCGGCCAGTGGAACGTCCGCGTCTACAAGCCCGTGCCGACCTGGCGCATCCGCACCGAGCTCTGGGGCAAGTGGCTCAAGACCAACGACCTCGACGCCGTCACGGCCTGCTGGGTCGACGAGCTCGTGCTGCGCGAGGAGCCGCTGCTCAAGGAGTACTGGCGCGCGCGCGACAGCGGCCGTCTCGAGGATGCGCTCCGCGTCCTCGACGCCAACGTCGACCAGATCGTCTCGGCCATCGACATTGAGACGGACGTGTCCGAGGTGACGCTGCTGTCCATCAAGACGGCCGACCTCTACGTCATGGGCCTCGGCAAGGACGCCAACCCCGTGACGACGCGCCCGCAGGACTGCTACAGCGACACCAAGGACCGCATCTCCGTCATCTTCAACGACATTGGCTGCTGGCCCATGGCGCCCGGCGGCGTGTCCAACTGCCGCCGCGACCTCGTCAACGGCCACAGCACCATCCGCAACCACGTGCTCGCCGAGTGCGCCAACGACTACGGCGTGCCGCGCTTCCAGATCGAGAAGAACGTCCAGTCGCTCAAGCTGCTGCCGCTCTGGGGCCTCGACGGCGGCACGGCCAACCACGGCATCATCGACGACCTGCTCGAGTCCGAGGTGGACGAAAAGGTCGACGACACCGAGGTGCAGCGTGACATTGTCGAGACGTTCATCCCGCTGCTCACGACCTTCGTCAAGGGCGCGCGCACCAAGCGCCTCTCGCGGTCGCACCTCGTCCGCCTCAGCAACGCCATGCTCTCCATGGCCAAGTACTACGAGCACAAGGACTACACCAAGACGTGGAAGGCGCCCGAGGTCGAGCAGGCCTGGATCGCCGCCTGGCTGATGCCGTACGACGACGACGCCAACGTCGCGGCGCCGTCCGAGTGCTTCGACATTGCGCGCCCCAGCATGTTCGATTTCCGCCAGTCGCTCAACATCTACCTCGCCTACTTCTTCATCTTCGCCGTCGGCGTGCCGCAGAGCTGCCCGCGCGTCTTCCAGAGCACCCACCACGGCATCAGCTCGCTCTTCGGCATGGTCCTCAAGTACCGCCGCGGCGTGACCTTTGGCATCTGGGACCACGCCATCCTCTGGCGCGAGTGCTGCCTCAACATCTCGCCCGCCCAGTCCGAGCTGCCCGTGTCCGTCCAGTCCATGCTGCTGGCCGGCATCGGCCTGGCCACGCGCCTCGCCTACTTCCACACCGACGTCGTCATGCCGTGCGCCTCCCTCTTCAACCCCATGTGGGAGGCCGAGATTGGCACCGACGGCGCCCGCCTCTGCAGCCGCAACGGCTTCCGCCGCAAGATCGACCCCATCGTCAACGGCATCTCCAACATGGACGCCTACAACCCCGTCGACAAGATCCGCACCGACACCCCCACCGTCGTCATGCTGTCCAACGTCCAGATGATCAAGGGCGTCAAGGCCGCCATCCAGGCCGCCGACATCATCATCAACCGCTTCGGCTTCACCGACTACAAGCTCGTCGTCTACGGCGCCAAGGACCGCCAGCCGTCCTACGCCCTCGAGATGGAGAAGCTCATCGTCGACGCCAAGCTGGCCAACCACGTCGTGCTCGCCGGCTTCGGCAACTCCAAGGAGGTCCTCAAGGACGCCTGGCTCTTCATGAACAGCTCCATCTCCGAGGGCCTGCCGCTGGCCATCGGCGAGGCCGCCCTCGCCGGCGTGCCCATCGTCGCCACCGAGGTCGGCGCCACGGCCCTCGTGCTGACCGACCCCGACAAGACCGACCAGCGCTACGGCGAGGTCGTGCCGCCCAACGACCCCCTCGCCCTCGCCCGCGCCCAAATCAGCATGCTCGCCATGGTCGGCCCCTGGGCCCGCTTCACCGACCAGGCCGCCCTGCCGCCGGCCGAGCGGTCGCCCGTGCTCCCCGACGAGATCGCCGCCGACGACGTCGCCTGGCTGACGCGCCGCTTCTACGCCCGCGCCGAAGACCGCCGCAAGCTCGGCCTCCTCTCGCGCCAGGTCGTCCTCCACAGCTTCCACGGCAGCCGCTACCTGCGCGAGCACGAGCAGATGTACTGGATCCAGTGGCACCTCGCCCAGCAGCGCGCCGACCCGGCCCTGCGCGCCCTGCCCTACACCTTTGGCTGCATGGAGCCGCTGCGCTACGCCGAGAACGACGAGGTCGCCGCCGTCCTCGACGATGCCGTCTCCGAGAGGCCGCCAACCATCATGCTGACGCCGCGCCGCACGAGCCGCGGCGACTTTGACGTCTAGTGCTCTTCTTTTCTTTGTCCATCGTGTCCATAGCTTTCTTGTTTCTTCCTGTTTCTGTGCAAGAGCGATGCATCAGCTTCTTCCATACCCGCTGTCCGCGCAGCGTCTTTGTTTTCTGTCTGCATTATATACATGTTGCGATTTTGCTTTTTGGCGTCCAAACATACAGGAGGAGACGAGAATACCCAAGATTGGTACGCACAAGCGTTAGCCCGGCATAATGAGTAGTATTTAATAACACTTACATCTGCATCTGATTCCTGCGTGCCTGCGTCTGACCTGGACATTTGTTTTGCTATGACTTGTTGCTATGCCCCGTCAACATGGCCTGCTATTCGAAGGTGTTGATTGAGAGAAAAGACAACTCACCTCTAGTGAGCCGCTGTATTCAGTGATGATATCATTGCTCGTCAACACGATATCCCGAGCTTGTCCGGCTACACACCGAACAGGCGAAGCAACACGCCAATCTGCAACACAGTAAGACCACGTCTTCATGACCTCACACCACGCAATACCGCACAGGCTCTATCAATCATTACGCATTAAGGTCTACTTTTAATCATGCTACCAAGAGCCAACGTCACCGCCGCTCAACGAATAACGGCATCCTCGTCCCGGCGCACAACAGTCTTGTCCTCGGCCAGCGTCTGCTCGTCGGTGAGGTGGGGGTTGCGCAGGCACGCCGCAAAGGCGATCAGCGGCACGCAGAGGCAGATGCCCGTGATGCAGAGGAGGCGCTGGATGTGCTGGTACGAGGCGATAATCTCGGTGCGCACGGGGGTGCCGACGGGGTACTCGGCCAGCACGGTGAAGGGGTCGGCGTAGATGGTCTGGGCGAGCGTCTCGTTGCCAAACTGGGCCAACCTCTTGTTCAGCTCAGAGGGAAGCAGCTGGGTCCAGAAGGAGCCGGACACGGTGTTGCCAAAAGCGGAACCAATGTTATAGGTTGCGAGGTAGAGACCCGTCATGACGGCAAGGTTCTCGTGGTCCAGAGCCGTCTGCAGCGAGGCCTGTGCCGGATAGGGGAACATGCCGCCGGCGATGCCGAGGAGGACCTGGGCGCCAATGACGCCCGACGCCTGCGCGTCCGAGGGCGAGCCGCGGAAGTGGATGAGGAGGCCAAAGGCGACGAGGAAGAGCACGGTGCCGGCGACGATGAAGACCTTGAGGCGGCGGACCTTGAAGACGATGAAGCCGAGGATGAAGCCGGTGATGACCGAGACGAACGAGTAGAGCGACGTGATGCGCGTCGCGGCCGTGATGGACATGTCAAAGGCGACAATCAGCACGGTATACAGGTAGTTGCCCTGCATGTACCAGGCAAAGTTGAGGAACAGGGCGATTCCGAGGGCGCCCCAGACGCCGCGGTCGCGCATCAGGCGGAAGGGGACCAGAGGGTGCGGCGTGCGCATCTGCCACACGACAAAGACGGGGATGCAGAGGACGCCAATGACGAGAGGCGCGATGACCTTGGCCTGGGACCACTGCGACTCGAAGCCGCCGGCAATGGTCAGCGGCACGAGGATCAGGGCGAAGACGGCGATCAGGAGGATGATGCCGATGACGTCGAGGCGCCAGAAGAGGTCGACCATGCCGGCCTTGAAGCCGAGAATCTGGAACGACGTCTCGTACTGGTCGAGAAGGCCCATGCGGCGGGCGCGACGACCGACAATGGCGAGCGAGACGATGAGGGGCACGGCGCAAAAGGGGTAAATGATGCACCACATGCCGATGCCCCAGCGCCAGCTCAGGCTGCCGAGAAGGACAGGCTCCGAAATGTCGCCGCTGACCCACGTGTTGATGATGAAGGGGGTCGCGGGGATGTAGCTGAAGAGAAGACGCGAGCGGGTCGAGGTGATGTCGGCAATGATGACCATGACGAGCAGCATGATCATGGTGTAGCCAATCTGGTAGATGACGGCGCCGGCCGCGAACGTCTCGACATCGTTGGACACGGTCTCGACGATGGTGCCGACGACGTAGAACACGACAGACAGGCAGACGAGCTCGACACGACCGAAGACGTCGGCAATCTTGGCGGCCGTGGGCTGGGCCGCAGCGGCGATGACGGAGCGCAGGACGTTGACAGTGGCTAGCAGCGAGTGCGTGCGGAAAGAGGCGGTCGCGTAAGGCTGGTAGGCGTACCGAAGGGTGCCGTCGAGGCCGTAGGCGTAGGCGACGAGGAAGACGCCGAAGAAGATGAAGAGACGGTCGGTGCGGGTCATGACGCTGGAGATGGCCTCCATGCGGGCGACACCGTACGACTTTTCATCGAGGCTCTTGGGGGGCACGACACCACCGGGGCCGGAGGCCAGGACATTCTTGTCAAAGGGCGGCTGGGCGTGGATGTTGCCCTTCTCGTCGGCCTCGTGGGAGCCCGAGTTCGAGTTGGAGCGTGCGGGCGACGCAGGCGCCGCAGGATTCGATTTTTCGGTCATGGCGATGCTGTGTTGAGATTAGCAAGTGTGAAGAGCTGAGGGGACGAAATAATTCGGGCGGGAAGCCTTGGATGACGCCAAAGGTAGGCTGCCGTCGTCCATCATGGTGTGAGGGGCGTGAGCAGCAAAGTTTGGCGGGGCAGAGGGCATTGGTTGGGGATGGGACATGGCGATGGGACATGGCGGCCAGAGGCGCCAGGAGAAGGGACCAGAGGCGCCAGGAGAAGGGACCAGAGGCGCCAGGAGAAGGGACCAGAGGCGCCAGGAGAAGATGGGCGACATACCGAGGAAGATCGACTGCAGGTGAAGGCGAATCGAGAGATCGAGTCACAGCAAACAGCGAGCAATGTCAGATGCTCGGTCAGATGCTCTGTCAGATGAGGCACACCAGAAGAAAGGAAGAGAGAAGGGACGATCATCAGACGGGGCTCGCATGCGACTTATGTACGTGGAACCCAGGAAGGAACGAGTCTTGGGGCCTTCCAGGTTGCTGGGTGCTGCTTGCCGCTTCGCTGCAGAAGCTTGCCACAGAAGCTCCTCCTCTCCCCCCACCGGTTATCCTTTCCTCCTGGAGATGGAGGAGAAGTTTCTTGGGACAGAACGACCCGGACGAGGCGACGGCCAAGGATGCGCTAACGGCCCCGATGTGTCCCTGCTTCGCCATCTGGTGGGGCGCTCTTGAGTCTTGACAGTCTTGAATGCCTGTCCTTGAATGCCTCTGGTCAGGCACCGTTACTTGCAGCGAAGGGTAAGATGCAAGGCGTCGTTCAGATCTCGTCACTCGTGTTGCAGTGCTTTCTCTACCTCTCTTCTCCCTTCAACCACAACCCATCTCATCGCTTCCAGCCCGCTGAATGAATGAATGCCTGCCCAGGTGCATCGCCATCGCCGTGCTGCTCTGCAGATTTCCTCCGTCGGCCCCGATCCTGTCACAGTTTTCCCAAACCAATGGGTGCTCGGTATGAGCTCGGTGTCTCCACGCCACCCCCTGCCAGTGGCTTGATCTCTCTCCATCTGATAAGATGGAGCGGGGCCACCAAGCCCCAGCAGCCGTGATCGGACAGTGCCCGCCACTGGGGACTCGCTCCTCGCTCTTGCCTGCTTGCCTGCTAGGCCGCTCCCCACCAACGCCCAAAAGCCCCTGCCGTCAGTGGCGCGTCCACCCACGGCAGCCACTCTGCCCTGCTAGTGGATGTGCCGGCAGTGGTCTGCAGCCTTTGGCGATACCTGCCCTCAGTGAGATGCCTTCCCTCAGTGAGACGCCTTCCCCCAGCAGGCACCAGTAGGACCTACCTTACGTACGTCCTACCGGGTGGGCGAGCTTTCAGGCTTCTAGGCCTTCGAGTCTCTACAGACCATCAAAGACCAAAGATTCTGCCGATACGCCTCTATGGCAACCCAGGAAATACTTGACAGCGACAACTGTCATTCATCTTCTCGACATCAGAGGCCACTCCCTTAACGGTCCGCTTGATCGTGCAGTCTTGACAGAATCCGACAATTTCGTATCCTTAGACCCGAGCTTTAGTCGTTCCGGTTCGTCCACGTACGAGGCACTAGCAAACACCATGTACGTCTGCAGGGAGCCTTATTGCCATGATGGTACGTAAGCTTCGAGCGCAGTTCGAGAAGCTAGGCGTGGAACTAGCGGGACAAAGAGATTTCTGCAGATTTTTTTTATCAGATCAACCACGACTTCGTTCGGGCCTTGGCATATCCTTCCAGGCCTTCACCTTGGCCTCAGCGTTTTTCTCTGTGGACGACTAGCGACCCGCCCGCGCAAATTTTACCATCGGCTGCCTCTTGGCTCTGGGTTTCTCTCGCTCATCCGCTGGCGTCTCGCTCATCCGCCGCCAGCGTTTTCGCTCGTCACTGTTTAGCTCAACACAGGATCTGACGGGCATCTGCATGCCAACATGACCACCCCCGCAGTCACACCTGCAGCCGGGACACCAATCGAGCTTGTTGTTCCACACCTTCTGCGCTGGTGACATCTCGCCCGACCCTCGTGTCACCCCCACCAGCAAGCAAGACCCCTAGAAGCCATCCGTTCCCATCACGACATCAGAACGAGGCCGACCCAGAACCACGCGACAGAGGGTCCTATTCGCAAACAGATCGCCCTCCTTTTCTTCATTGGACAGTCTCATCACCGCCATGTGGGACTTGGTCTCGATTGCCCACATTCCGTCAATCTCCGCCGATGACCCCTGCACCCCGTCCTCGCTTCGACATGCCTTCGGCGAAGCTTCGTCGTCGGAGAATCTCCCCGACCCCGAGGGCCAAATCTCTTTCTCTCTTTGACAGATGATATTGATCCAGTCCGCCGGTGTCAATCGTCCGACGCCGTCGAAAAACTTGATCGCAAAACCTGTGGTCGTCCCAGCTTTATTACCAGGTATTCTCCCTTCGTCTCAGAGCCTAGTTTCAAGCACGAACCGTCTCTTTGTCGTAAGACCTTGACGGCGGCAGGTGTTGGCTCGGTAAAGTCCGGCGCTCGTCGCATGCAACGTTGCCAACCCGGGCTAGTAGCGTAGACCCGGCTCCTTGATCAGCTCCCGAGTCGCTATTGGATGAGCTGGATCAGGCCGCTCCGTGATCATACACATGTCTCGAACCATTGCTTGGGAGCAGATTCCAGACGAAGAGCGCCTGAGTCGAGAAGACTTGCATCAAAGACCGTAATCCGCCGCATCAGTCATGTTCAGATCGCAAGTGCACTGATATCGTCAAAGCTCCGGCTACCCTGAGCCTGATGTGGTAGAAGAGATCTCTCTCGAGAATCAGTTGATTGCGTCAACATGTCGAAGAGCTTCGCACAAATGTTTGGCCAAAGTGGCGACCGACTCTTGACCTTGCTGCCGGAACAAGCCGAAATAGGCTGGCAGAAATCAGGACTCTTGTAATGGACCAAATGTGCAAACGGTAGGTCACTCATATGGGCAAACCTAGCTCAAGACACTCGTGTTTATCACATTTTTCATGAATTGCAGTGCGGTAGGAGCACAGCTCCGAGACGACTTTCCTGGCCTGCTCTCTCACTAGCTTGAGCCCAGTATCGGACAAAACCGATTGGCTCATTTCTGATGCAGTCGATATCACCAACAGAAGGCTGCTACTCAGCATTGATTGGGTGTCGAAGGCCTGTTGCTGCACAGCTGCCTAAATGGCAGTAAGACAATGTTCGTTGCTAGCATCGTCCGTCCCCCTCCGATGCCTGGGCTCATTTGACTCCTTCGCGGAGTTCACGCAAGCAAAGAGTTCATGAGCATGTCAAGTCTCACTGGATTCGCGATGGCTTTGGAAATCACAACGCTCAATCCGGGAGAGCCTGAACCTTGGCCCTCCTTCGATCACCCGTCGTCGCAAGGGATACGAAGCAGTCAGCGCGCCGCAAACTTGTATGACAAGGGGATCAAGTTCTATCGTAAGGAGGATCTTGTGAACATTGAAAAGGAGGTCTCCGAATCCTACATTCGGGAGTTCTTCAATCTTCCGCGCATCGACGGAACTGTTCTTCGCATGAGAAATCCTCTTCACGGCGTCCTCAAGCCAATCTGGTGAGTTGCACCCCGCATGTCCGAACGGACAGCCAGTGAGGATATATGCTTGCGCGGCTAATCAGCATCATCAGGAGTCCAATCATAGAGTTCCAAAACTACTGGAAGTTTGTGAGGAAGGAGCCGGATGGACCCCCCGAAACTCACCTGTGTTCGTTTCGCGTGGACTGGTTGAATCAGTCTATGCAGCAGTATGAAGGGAACATTGAGAACTATGAGGGTATTTTTCGGGGAAAACGCACCGCATGGGTCGACAGCAAGACATGCGCCGCGTTCAAAGCCCACACTCGGCAGCTCTTGGCGAAGCGAAAGGTGACCAAGATCGTCTGCTTCGGCCTAGGAGATTTCGTGCGTCGCCCGCCTGTCTGGTGGAAAATCCGCAACGCTCAATCTGACAATCCAATCACGGAAGGGGATCATTTGGAGGGTGGTATGATGCAGCACTGGGCCCCTATCACCATGGCCGAAACCCTGCGAGGGCTTGCCGATGGATCCTCCGTCAGACTACTTACGCAGGACCCGAAGTACACAGCCGAGGCGAGAGCTATTCTGGAAGATGTCGGCTTCGAAGTCGTCGGGGCATTTGGCGCTGGAGGCTTTGCCGAAATCGACGAGGAAACGGTGGTTATCTCCATCTACACCGCGGTGCCGGTGAAGCAGATCGTTGCCGATATGCCACGCCCCATTTCTATCATCACTACACCCCCTGGCGAGATTTTGAATTCATCCGAGTATCTGAATAATCCTACAGTACTGCTCTGTGAAGGGTGTTTTTGACCAAGTGTCTACTAACGCGTGTGGTGCCAGGAGAATCCCTGCTGACACGGAAACTCCCCGTACGAGAGAGATGTGGCGGCAATATGTAGCCTCAGACTTCCCGGCAGTCGCCGATGACATCTCTAGTATCACATCTCTGGGGAGCCTGAAGATCTTCACCAGGATCGAGGATGCTGTTTCCTAAGACATGTTGGGCCCCGCAGCGCCACCGTTCGCTGGGACAAGCAAAGTAAGGTGCCTTGCAAGCCTGGGTTGTGCGTGTGCGGCAGAGATCTCGTACAGTTGTTTGAATTTGTCCGCAGCACGGCAGTGACACGATTCTTGCCATTAGAAACACAACATCAATGTTTATTTGTCTAGCCACTGCGTGTAGCAGACTGTACCTAAGTGTAACTCACTGTTTTTGTTGCGAAGAACCGGGTCATTCTACGAATCGCCTGCACGCGTTGGCATCAAGAATGGATTGACGCCAGGGTTGTTTCTACGTTGAATGATGTATCTGAAAGGCATTTATACATCAGTTGGTCGCTCGGAAACAATTCCTACGAACAGAACGTCCGCGCAATATTCTCAATCACCCTTGTCACCTCCTTCAGACTATCGACGTCTACCCACTCCACAGCTGCATGCAGTCCTTCACCCTTTGGCCCATACATAATTGACGGGATGCCCGCCTCATTCAAAAGACCTGCATCGCACCAGAATCCTGCAGCATCTGGCTCTGGCACATTGCCGGTCACGTTCCCAACCACGGCCCTTACGGTTTGTACAAAGCTATGATCATCCTCGAGGGCCGACCCAGGCCGAGTAAATGTCATGCGCGGGGCGGCATACTGGAAACCAGGTGTCTTTGCAGCCACCTCTTTCAAAAAACGACTCAGATCGTCCATGATCGACGAGGGTGTCTGGGGCGGGACCGTCCGGAACTCAATGGTCAGGGTGCATTTTGCCGGGTAGCTTGACGGTTCCTCGCCGCCTACGAGCTTGCCGCCGTGAAGGTGCGCTTTTCCGAGGAGGGGGTGCGTGGGAAGCGTGTGTCCATACTCCAGGAGAGCCGTTTGCAGACTGCCGGCGAGCAGGATCGCATCGATGCCGATGTGCGGCTCGGAGCCGTGCGCAGCCTTGCCGAGCACGTCTATCTCAACCCACACGAAGCCTCTATGCGCCGTGACCATGGCTTGGCTGGTTGGTTCAGGGATGAGCGCTGCATCAGCCTTCCAGCCGGCGGCTAGCACGTCCTCGGTTCCTTTGGAGAAGTTTTCTTCGTCTGACACGGCGGCCAGGATAATGTCGCCCCGGAGCCTCTCGGCGCCCGACTTGGCAAAAGCTGCCAGGACTGCCATGGACGACGCGACGCCGGCCTTCATGTCCAAGGAACCTCTGCCGTAGATGCGGTTGTCTTGCAGGAGGCCACTGAGCGGATCCGTACCTTCCCCATAGGATGAAAGGCTCACCGTGTCAATGTGGCCGTTCAGCATGAGCGACTTGCCGCCACCAGTGCCACGTAGGACGCCTACAATGGACGGCCGTCCCGCAGTACGCTCGACCCAGTGTGCCTCTAGATCGCGGTGTCGAAGCCATGAGAAGATGTATTCTGCGATGGCAGTCTCGTCAGAACCGGCATCATTTGACAGATCGGGGTTCGCAGATGCGATCCTTGTGAGGATCTGGGTCAAGCCTGTTGCATCGCTGACCGTCACGTCCAAGGGCTCCTTATGCTGGCGTGAGCTTTCGGTGTTGAGCACCACCACAACAGAGTCGGCTTTCAGCCAGCTAGGACGCTGGCCGCTTGCCGCCAGCCGTTGCAAGCCGGCCAAAGTAGCGCCGCCGCAAGGACCGCTGTTGATGCCTCCCTCCGCGAGAACGCGAGTGGCTTCATGGGCTTCGTGGTCCGAGACTGTCACGCAGGCGTCAACGCCCGCTCTCAGGTCATCAAAAGCCGTAAGCGATACCGTGCCGCAGTTGAGGCCCTCCATGATGGTTTTGGAGGTCGCCACGGACGAGATTTTGCCCTGCCTCAAACTCTCGTACAAGCAGGCGGCTGTGTCCGGCTCGACCGCTAGTACACGATACGCCCGATCGCCTGACTTGCAGTGTCGAACGAGAGCCTGCGCCAACGACCCGACGCCGCAAGGGGTGACGACAAGATCCGGCTTCAACCCCTGAGAAGCAAGCTGGGCATCGACCTCTGCAACGAGAGTAGCATAGCCCTCAACAATCCATTTCGGTATGTCGGTGTAGCCATCAAACCCGGCATCTTGGATGAAAAGTCCGCTGGGGTCGGTCTGGGACGCAGCATGGGCTTCTCTCATTGCGCCATCGTAATCCAGCTGGCTGACCACGACCTCGGCGCCCTCGGAAGCTATGTGTTCGGCTGCTGCGGGGCCGACAGCCTTGAACACGTATACCTTTGACTGGATCCCTAGCAAACGGGCGGTGGCTGCCAAGGCACGGCCGTGATTCCCGGCGCTGGCGGTGTATAGGACGATCGACTTTTGCTGTGCACAGCGGGCGATGTCTTGAAAAGATGAGTTGAGGGGCAAGTCGAACTGGTCGATGATTGCCCGGCAGGTGCCCCAGGAGGCACCCAGAATCTTGAAGGAGGGGAGTCCGAGGCGATTGCTCTCGTCCTTAACGTACACAGCTTTGACGCCAAGTTTCTTTGCCAACGATTCCATTGAGACAAGAGGCGTCACGGCATAGTCCGGCATCTGGCAGTGGAGGGAGCGCGGCAGTGAAACATCGTCGTGGATATTGACTGAACCAGTTGCCTTGTTGAAGAGAAGAGGCTTGCGTGACGACATTTTGAAACTGAACAGCGTGCTGCTTGGATGCTGTGCTACTTGAATCGCTCGCAGTCGAGGACAAAAGTGGAATGTTGGGAGCAGTGCTGAAGACTTGGATGGAGTTCTGAGCAATCACGAAGCTCCTAAGTGTACATATCGAAAGTTGAAAGGAATGTATGTGCTCCAAAAGAAGGAAAATCAATATGATATAAGGCGCATGCTGCGTATAATGGATTTAAGGTCAAGTTCACAGAGGGCGTCATAAGTTCTCAGAAGGCGTTGGTGGAGATTCGGAGTACAGAGACGTGAATGACAGAGGCTAGCTGCCAATTCAGGCTAGATTCGGCTGGTTCTCCCGATGTGTGACCATCACTCGCGCTAACTTCGACCACTCACTCAAAACCTGGCCTGTGGTGGTCTTGAGTTTTTACCGCATGTGAAGGCTTTGGGCATGAAACATTCCTCTCAGTTGCATTGCTAGATTGGTCTGCCGTATTCGATTCTGGATGGTAACCTGGGATTTCGAGCGGATGCAATATATTTGACCCCCACATATAGTCAAGTAGCAACCATTTTTGACGCTTGACCATAAAGCTTGCATCACATGGTTTGAAGATGTTGTCAACGCCAGTTTCAGGAGTTTGGATTTTGAAATAGTAATGTTGAGACTACTACAGCCGATTCAGTAGGAGGACCAGTATACCAAGGTAATTATGTCCTTCTGGACAAAGTTTGCAGATAAATCAACTCAGATCGCTAAGCGCTCACTACAGAGATCGACTGTATCCAACGACGAACAGGGAACCGCTTCCCTATCCAAAGTTCTCGACACGACCAGAAGACCCTTCTCTGATTCGTTTTTTTAAATCTCTACTCATGTAACTGGCCTCAAGATCGATCCATTCACAAATCATAATCTTATCATTTTATTCGATTGATGTTCAACGATCTGGACGGGAGGCCGACGGCGAGTATCACAGCCTAACACTGAGAGTCTAGACACGAGCCTGGGTTTGAGCGCACATAGATGGTTGGCCAACCATTGATGATAGTTAAATCTTTACTCTCGATCAAGGACACAAGTTGTGATGTCTTCGCGACAGTTGAGATGCTACATTCGAGCCGAAAAGGTAAAAAAGCAAACTTGTTGAGGCGTCGACCCGTTGTCAGTGTAAGCTTGTAGCCTAATTGAATCCAAGTCGTTGATCCGTTAGATACCCGTTTGCCTCATTCTATTAGGGCACTGGCGCCCATGTAAGGGCTGCAACTAATGTCTTCTAGCTTTCAAGGCCGAGAGCGACACGTAGTTAAATACCACGCATAGGAACATGGACTCGAGGTCTGAGTAGCTGGCTCATCTGTCCCATTCATATCACATCCAAGTTTCAGCTCATGCCGCGCGACCTCGTTCTCCTGAATCTACCTAGCAATCTCGAGCGCCAGCATGCCACGCAAAAGCTCATCCCAGCAACCTGCGCCTTGCACCGCACTTATCCGATGCAACGGCAAGTTATGTTCTATCAAAACTACCCACAGTGACGCCGAGATCCTCTGTCAGGCTTAGCTGGCTGGCGAAGGAACCTTCGAACCTGGCGACTTCAAGCCAGTTGATCCCACCGAGACAGTCGGTGCGAATCGAAGCACAACTGCTGCTGTGGCAACGGGAACGCCCACCCCGCATCAGATGCCGCGTCACAATGCTCACACGAGCTCGAATGCTAGAGCGAGCTCAGCAGGCCCGGCCGAGACGCTAGCCGGCGTGGGTGCTTGGGCCGTGGACCGTTACAAATGATCTAGCTGATCGCCGGGCGGGTACTTTGTCTGTAAGCTTGGCATGCTTCAGACATGGCCCCGAAAGCTCGTAATTTTTGACTGATGCACGTGGAGGATTAACAGCACTTGGTACACCGCCCACACCTGTGTCACGGTCGAGAAACGGGGCTAGTACGGGGGCCGCGGGGGGAGGGGAGTGCTCATGTTCCTTGCATCATTATCTATAACATTCGTTGTTCGGCTATGATGAGAAAAGAGGCTTAGGCTTGTGTCTCGTGCTACAGGATCCTCGATGTCGCAAGGAGGCGTCAGGTAATTGACACACGTAGACGTCTAGACGCCAAAGAGCTTCAGCGGGGCCACGACCAACCAGCCCAGAACAAGGACATCCAGTGCCTTGGAGACCTGGGTCGAATCCTCAATGGCGCGATTGTACTCCTCGAGCATGGGAATCTTGGCCTTGTTGTTCCAGTACGAGCGCATGTAGAGGCTGATACCGTACGAGCCGGCGGCGGGGACGAGAGCCCAGGCGGTGTTGCGGAAGACAAGCTTGCTAGAGGTGAAGAGCACGAAGCTCAGGCCGTTGTAGAGTGAGAAGAGGGACTGTTTGGGGCGTGTCAGCCACTCTGCACGCTGTGCAGATGAATTCAGGAAGGGCGCGACCGCAACGTACAAAGATGAAGCCGGCGCCGACGGTGTAGCGGGTATCCCAGAGCTGCTTCTTGGCGGTGCTGCTCCATTCGGCAGCCTTCTCGGCTGTCTGCTCATACTTTTGAAGCTTTGGGATGGACTGAGCCGAGAAGTACACGGCGTAGCCGCTGGCTGCCGTGACCAGGAGGGTCAAGATGTTGGAGATGAGGACCATTTTGCTTGCGTCAGGGTATGGTTTATTCGTCTTGTGTGAATTGTTTGTAACGTGAAGTTGATATGCCACCGTGGTGCGAGCCTCGAGCGTTTTAACGGGAAGCAAATCGTGAAGAGACGATGATGTCATGCGCCGCTGTGACAGCTCACAGACACGTGCTAAAGCCGGATGACGATGGTCATGCACTCGCTCCACCACTGGTCAGTCTGATTGAAGTGTCGTGGCCCGATCTGGTATGCCCATGTTCACCGCGTCTGCTGACGGCATCGTAGCACCTTGTATCGAGCTTGCGGCGGTAACGCCATGATTCTACGCGCATTCCAAACGCGCTCCGTTGAGGCCAAGGATTTTGGTGGGCGGCTGACAACGAGGAGCACATCTATCTGTATGTGCTCGGCGCTCGGAGTATGATCGAATCCATCGGAAAAATACTACCCCCCAGTGCACCTCGATGGTCCAACCGTGTCACGCGAGCAGACTTTGACGAATGCCCTCTCACGCAGTGCTCCCGAGATGGGATGAGGACCTGGTCAATCGCCAAGCACTATTGTCATCAAAATAAGCTCATGAGCCGAGCTCCGGGTTACAGATCATCGATGTTCAATCCCCACCCACCCCTCCATCATGATGCCACTCATTCGAGAGAGGGGGAGAGAGAGCTTACAGGATGAATCAATTTCGAGGTAGCATCGTCAAATGGGTCGAAGGCTTGGTATTCCCGCGGAGGAGGAGACACAGGGGGTGGCTATGCCAGGTGAGCGGCGGGCACTAGGCGCCATGAGGCAAGGAATCGCAGTGGGAAAACAAGACTTTTCAGCTGGAGGGTTCACCTGGCAGATGCGGAGGCGAGGCCAAACATGGGTCTCTGCTGCTCGCTGCTCGAGCTCGAGGCACGTCACACCTGTGGACTTCTGTGGCCGGGCTATGGGCTTGAAATGCGGGGCTTGGCACACTGACATGGAAAGAGCCTGGTCAGTGAACATGCCCTGAGATGCCCACCTGGGCAAGGTGCCAGGCCAACCTGCCCTGCCTTGGTCTTACCTGCCCTGAAGAACCAATGCGAGGAGGCTGGAACTGGAACATCGAGGCAGGACCAGCCCCGCGTTTGCCTGCCTGGCTGCCGCCTGAGGTCCTTCCTGTGGTCCTGAGGTTCGGAGATCGAGGCAGTTAGGTACATGTCACGATGTACTCGTGCACCGCCCCTGCCATATAAGGAGGATGGGGAGCTTTCCCCGCGCGTGCACTGAGCGGGCAGCTTCTCTCTGCTCTCTGCTCTCTGCTCTCTTGCTCTGTGCTTCTTGCCTTCTCCGCCAGTCGCCAATCGACTCATTTCACTCTCTAGTGACCTTTGTCGCGTTTGTGATCCCGCCATTACGATCTATTGCCCTCGACCGTCCCAATTGATCCATCACCAACTGACGAGACCCCCAACCACCGCCCATCATGTCGAACGGCCGCGGGTCCGAGCAGACGCCTCTGCTTCCCAGCCTCAACGTCGAAATCGCCCACGAAGGCGAAAGCGGCAGACAGGGTTTCCACATCAACCACTTCCTCGCCGTCCTCTGGCGTAGCTCGTGCACCGCTTCGAAGCTCGTCAACGTGCTCTGGCCCTTTGTCCCCGTCGCCCTCATCCTGCAGTTCTTCCCGGGACTGCACATCTGGAAGTTTGTCATTGCTTACATCGCCGTCATCCCTTCTGCCAACCTGCTGGGCTTTGCAGGCCAGGAGTTCGCTCGCAAGCTGCCCAAGGTCGCCGGCATTCTGATTGAGACGACATTCGGATCCATCATTGAGATTATTCTTTTCGTCGTGCTGATCGTCAAGCACGACGCTAGCGACCCCGAAGACAATGGCGACGAGGGCAACCTCGTGCCCATCATCCAGGCCGCCATTCTCGGTAGCATCCTGACGAACCTGCTCCTCTGCCTCGGCCTGTGCTTCTTCTTCGGCGGCCTGCGCGAGGCCACACAGAAGTTCCACAGCATCGTCTCCGAGGTCGGCAGCGGTCTCCTGCTCGTTGCCGCCTTTGGTCTCCTCATCCCGAGCGCCTTTTACTCGGCCCTCAAGTCTGAGGTCGTCCCGCTGCTGCCGGGCCTGCCGGGTCCTCACGAGCCCTTCACCGAGCGAAAGCTCGAGGACGATGTGCTGAGCATCAGTCAGGCCACCTCCATTGCCCTCATCGTCGCCTTTTTCCTCTACATCTGGTACCAGGCCAGCAGCCAGCACAGCATCTTCGACGAGGTCATCGAGGCCGACGAGCACCGGGATGCGGATCGCGAAGCCGATGCCGAGAAGCCCAAGTTCACCATGACCGAGGCCCTCATCGCCATCACCATTGCCCTTGTGTTCGTAACGCTACTTCTCATCTTCCTCGTCGAGGAGATTGAACACGTCGTGGAGGCTGGCGTGCCTGACCAGTTCTTGGGTCTGATCTTGCTGCCTCTGGTCGAGAAGGCCGCTGAGCATCTGACGGCGATTGACGAGGCCTGGGGTGCGTTTTGCTTTTCCTAGTGATTCTGCAGATTAATACTGACGACGTTCCCAGACGGCGCCATCAACGTGGCTCTCTACCACTGCCTCGGCCCTTCGATCCAGACTGCCCTGTTCAACGGCCCCCTTGTCGTCATTGTCGGCTGGGCCCTGGGTAAGCCCATGGACCTCAACTTTGAGATCTTCATGATTGCTCTGCTCGTCCTGTCGATACTCGTCGTTGGCAACTTCCTTCGCGACGGCGAGTCTAACTGGCTCGAAGGCGCGCTGCTTGTGGTATGTTATTTTGGTTGCTGGACCGATAACCTGCAGAAGCTGACATTGGCCCACAGATCGTCTACGTCATCATCGCCATTGCCTGCTGGTACTACCCTAACCCCGATGTCGCGACCTCGAACGGGCTGCAGGCTACCGGGCTGGTCAATGTAACCATGAGCGTCGACCAGCTGAAGCAGCTGCAGCAGCTTCTCGCCATCAAGCTCGAGTAAGGACCCTCTCGGTCATCTCCCATCGAGCAGGATCGCCTCGCGACTGTCCGCGATAAATCGTGTGTCGAAAAGTGTGTCGTTGCCATTCAAATTGTGGAGGGGTGGCCGATGTGTGACAGGAGGGCAAAATTGGTCATGCTAGCATATCTTCAGGTTGGATTTTCCGTCACGTTACTCACTATCTGACTAAATCTGTACCAAACTTTAGCTACGAATACAAGTTCACGTCTATTTGAAACACAACAAGAATGCGTTTGATCACCACTTGGCTTCGGTAAGGAGCACCCTTCAGCACGAGGAAAGCATGGAACAGATGCAAAGACTTGCGTGTCCCGACAGACAGGCATATTACTTCATTATCGTCTAACTAGAGCAACACACCGGCCCTCCAGGCATACACGCAAGGGCTGTCGGTCTCGCATCAAACTACACATCCTGTACACGGGCGACACGCTTATTCCTCGCAGGTGTCATCAGTCTCGGAGGGCTGGGGGGCGCTCGAGACGGCGCTCGAGACGGGGGGCTCGACGGTGGTCGTGGCGACAGCGGTCGAGGTGACGGTGGTCGTGGCGCCGGTTGGGGTGGGCAGGCACGAGCAGGCGGAGGAGACGCGGGAGATGACGTTCTGGCCGCAGGCGGACGAGGCGTAGCTGGGGACGACCTTGACGTCAGCCTCCCAGCCGTCGAGGAAGCCGGCGCAGAACTCCTGCGACTCCTCGAGGCGGCCGGCGACCGAGTTGGCGCGCAGGGCGCGCAGGCAGTTGTCGGCGTTGCACGTCTTGGGCTTGCACTTTTCACGCTTGGCCACCTTGACGAGGTAGCCGCCGCGCTCGATGGTGTTGATCCAGACGTAGCCCGAGGGGAACTCGGCGTACGAGGACCACGAGCCGACAAAGGCCGGGTTGCCGCCGCCGGGGGCCGAGTCGTCCTCGGGGTAAATGTCAAAGTAGGCGACCTCGCAGACCGAGTCGCCGGTGGGGTCCTCGGGGATGGACGACACGTCGTAGACGCGCAGGCCGGCGCCGTAGTTGGACTGGTAGACGAGGCCGTCGTACTTGTTGACGTACTGGTTGTGGTCGACGGAGCGGACTGTGCCCTTGTAGAGACCCGTCTGCTTGGGTGCCTCGAGGTCCGAAATGTCCCAGATGTAGGTGACGGGGTAGCCGTCGATCGCGGGGCCGACGTGGGGGCCGGTGCGGCCTACCTCGTCGTACTCGTCGTCGAGGATCAGGTACTGCTGCCACTTCTTGTCGAGGACAGCGCCCTGGTGGGTGTACTGGACGCCCGTGTAGCTGGTGACCGAGACGATCAGGGGCTTGGACTTGTCGGTGACGTCGTAGATGGTCAGCGAGTCCTCGTTGTAGCCGTAGCAGATGTCGCGGCCGTCGTAGCGCGCGTCGGGGCCACGGTAGATGAGGCACTCAGCCTGAGAGGGGGGTTAGCAAGACAGAGATGACAGCAGCCTGGGTGGCGAGGGTGACGCACATCGTGGACGTAGCCGTCGTCCTTGGCAATGCCGAGCTTGACGGGCTTGGAGGGGTCCTTCAGGTCGAAGAAGATGAAGCCGCCGAGGGCGCTCTCGTTGCGCGGGCGCGAGCCGACCGAGGCGCCATAGCCGGCCTCCTCGTTGATGACGACGTTGTGGGACGAGCCGATGGGCAGGTCGTTGAACCAACCTGTGAGGTCGGCCTTGCCGAAGCGGACGGGCTTGTCGCCGGCCTTGAGCTCAATGTCGAGCAGCTTGGTGAGGTCGAAGATCTGGACGCCGTGGCCCTCGAGCTCGGAGCCGACGACAATGTAGTTCTTGTAGCGGCGGACCTCCTTCCACAGGGAGCGCGCGGCGGCGGGCACGACGGCCGGCAGGAAGCCGAGCACCTTGATCTTGCCCTCGGGCAGGATCTCGATGAACGAGGTGCCGTCGTACTGGCCGTTGGCGACAAACTCACGGCCCGACTCTTCGTGGACCCAGCCCCACGAGCCCGAGCCGGTACGGAGCTGGACGTCCGAGCCGGGCGAGCCGAGCTCGGCGTGGTTGACAAAGTCGTAGAGGTCGATGTTCTTGCACCGGAAGGTGTGGAGGGGATCCCCCTTGACGGCCTCGGCCTTGCCGTTAACACACTTGGTGTAGTTGAGGCGGGGCCACTTGGCCGAGTCGAGCAGACCGGCGGCCTGTTCGCCCTGCCAGAAGGAAAGCTTCTCGGCCATGATGTGCTCGTGGAGCGCGCCATTGTCGTAGAACTCTGTGTCGGGGGTTAGTCTCGCAGGGTCACAAGAAGCTGGTCACACCAGAGCCAGGACAGGAGAGGCGGTCTCTTACCAGCAGCGAGGGCCTCGTCCTTGGCAATCTCCTTGCCGATGACGGCAGAGGCAGCGGTCAGGACCGCGCCGGCAATGGTGTTGTAGCGCATGGTGAGGGTTGAGGGTTGACCTTGCGGAGGGCTTGTCTGGTGGTCGGAAGGGGGGTGAGGGGGCAAGAGCAGCGCGAGATTCCAGGAGCGCAGATCCCCCGATATTTATGAGAAAGCTCTCCTTCTCTCTGCTTGGCTGGTGATGCCTAGACACCGGGGGGGGGAGGGGAAGGCTCCATTGCACGCTCATGCCTGTCGGGAGGACCCAGGCGCGAGAAGCTCAATCTGGCAGCTCCCAAGGTGGGATTATCCAAAGTCCTCCCCCCTTCCCGCCCTCCCGTCCACCTCTGGCCCCTGGGTATTGCTCTGCGGGTGCCTGCGTGTCTGTGGTGACTTGTCTGTTTGTCTGTGTGTTGGGTCGGCGGCGGCGATGTCGACATGGGATATTGCCAAGAATACCACGCCGCTATGGACGGATGGGGGAGGAGGAAAACGGCTTGGCGCGTTAGCTCACATGGGACCACGCATGGGCAGAATCGCATTGGCAAATCAACAGAGGCTTATGTGCGGATGGCTAACTGCTTAGTCTCCGCTCCCCGCCCTGTGCCTGCGTCGCCTTCTCTTCCGCGTGGAACAAGTCGAGAAGGTGGGCGTTTGCGCCATGCCGGCCCTGTCGACATGTTGTGAGGCGGGGGAGCCGGCCAGGGCTTGGGGGCATGGTGGCGAAAGGGGCAAGAGATGAGAGATCACCGTGTTCTGGGCCGGCGTTGTTCCCCTCTTGTGCTCTGTTGACTGTGCAGTAGGCAGGGTATGGCGAGGAGGCCGAGATAGCCTTGTTTTTAAGCATGATGCCTAGTCTGTGGATCATCATTTTATCAATCAGCACGCCCTTTGGGGTCGCTTGGTCGTCTCCGCTGGGTTGCTATCCCCGGCCTACCCTAGTGTGCTCGAATCTGTTTGTCTAGACGACCTGGTGTTGAGTGCTGTGGCACTCCTGATGATTCGACTCGTTATAAAGAGTTTTATCTACCATCAGCTAGGTACCCAGGTGTTCGTTGTCAAGCGTGAACCAGCTTCATCATCCACAACAATACTTGTCAGTCGAAATAACGCCCAGCCGGTAGACCAGCCGACGCCTGACGGACAACCCAGTCGGCCGACTCCTCCAGCGAGCTCGCCATCGCCTCCTCATCGCGACCAATAATGACGTGAGGCTCATCGCGGGTCCCTTCCAAGCCGTCGTCGGCAGCCCTCTGCTGCCTCTCGCTCACCTGCCCGTTTTGCCGCTCGAGCGCCACCCCGACGGTGCCCGCGAATGACGAGATCCCACATCCTGGTGACCGCAATCGAGCTGCCGAAATCTGCTTGGTGCCGATTTGCTGTGCCCGCTCTTCGACCCCTGTCGCTGTCATGTGCTGGGCCGCCGTCTGTGCAATCTTATCGGTCATGTTTATCTCGAGCTCGACCGATAGAAATGGGAATTAATAAGAATTTATGTTTAAGGTGTAGGGGTTTAAGTATTAGTGTATTGGTTAAGTAGTAGAAGACGAAAATTGGATATCTAGTAAACCTTTAGAACTATATACCCTCGTTAGATGAATACCCCTATAGTATTATATTTCTAGTCCTATTCTCCTAAGTAACTATCTTCTACTAGGCCGCCTATATCCTTAACTAATATAATCCTACCTATTATCCTATATTTTCTTAATATATAGAGTACTCTATTTATATCTATTTAATTACTTAGAGGGTAAGAGCTTTAGTTCTCTAGATATACGATCCTCTAAGTTTATTATATTGTTACGACCTGGCAGCTTCCGAAGGGGGAACACTGCCAGAGGGTTGGGGTTGCTGTTTGCAGAAGCTTAGGTTGTGACTCTGAGACGATGTGGTGTCGTAAGGCGTTGCGCACTCGTTACAATGAATACAAGGTAAGACTTAGATTGATCACTGTCGTGAGAAAGAATGTATCTACAAGTCCAGAATGTCCGTCCTTATATACCTGCCATCCTGTCCTTGTTGTGTTAGGTGGTGAGCTCATGTTGGATGGCTCACTGGTTAGTTGTTGGTGATCCATGATGTTAGGATCACGGTGTGTTATCCCGTGAGCCATTCCCTGGCTCACTGCGGCGTCCTTGGTGAGCCCGACGACTCACCCTTTATGTCTGAGTGAGCCATCACGTGATTTGCCAGGTGGGCCCGATTCTTATCTTATCGCGCTCCCTGATCGCGGGGTCGTCGATTCGCGGCCGCCCTGCTTCCTTGGTTGTTACATATATATAGTAAGTAAAAGAAGAGAAGTTAATATAGCTACTTCTCGAATTCTAAAGTCTATAATCCTAATAAAGAAAGTAAAAAGTATTAATATATATCGTAGTCGATATAGGAGGGTGTTAGCCAACGACCGAGG